GTCTGGTTATTCAGGTTTGTCTGGTTATTCAGGTTTGTCTGGTTATTCAGGTTTGTCTGGTTGTTCAGGCTTCCATTGTTTTTATTGACGTTTGGAACTGTAAACCCTTTCCACATTATTGTTTTTAAAACTACATTATCGTTAGGTCCGCAGTTAATCGTGTAACTTTCGTTTTCTTGCAGCACTTTGAATGTAACTGGAAAAAAATAGTGATTTAGGTGAATAGACTTTCCCCGAATTTGCTTTGATGATCACACAAGAATGGTTTCAAGTCAAGACTAGAATTGATTCTTTTGTTTATCAAGGACAGCCTCGAACTGAAACAGTTCCGTGTTTATCCAGGGGAATTCGGAAAAGCTCTATTTTGATGACCATCCACAAATCATGAACGATATATGGGAATAATACAATTAAAAGTCACTACAGTGAACGAGTTTGAAAATGTAGTCTAAAACTTGCAAATTTGGAAAGCAATTTCACTACCATATTGTTGTATTTCACTAGAGTTTACAACACTTTAAGATTTTAATAAAATCAGTTTAAGGGTTTCGCTTTTTCAAATGTTTTCTGGCGTTGTAAAACCGAATGATTTTTGAACTACTGTATTTCTTTTATAAATAACAGAAACTTGACACTTACTGTTCTGACAATGAAAGGTAACATTCAAATAATTATTTCCCCCATAGCAACTGCTGGCATTAAACAGAGCGGGCGATGGTATCAAGTCGCAGTCCTTTTTAGCCTGACAGTGTGCTTGGACTTGGCGGAAAGCTGTTCCCTCGTTAAGGCACGTCTTATCTATGGCGCATGGATAACTGGCGGGACATCCGTACGAGACTGTATCAACGTACACCGTCGATCCTGACTCACAGACCAATGCACCTAGCTGCTTATCGGGTAAGGATATTGATATTTCTGAAATTAATGTTAATAATCGTTAGTGTAGTCATAGTATTAGCAGTCATAGACATAGTCACAGTCAGAGTCACAGACACAATCACAGTCACAATCACAGACACAATCACAGACACAATCACAGACAGACACCGACAAAGTCATAGACACAGCACAGACATAGTCATAGATGTAGTCAAAGGCATTGTAATAGACATATATAGAGTTATAAACATAGTCATAATCGTAATCATAGACAAAGTCGTAGTCATAAACACAATAACAATCATAATTTCAAGTGAATTTTTAGATTTGAATTTTGAATCTGACAAGCTTCCTTTTCGGCCAAACAACTATAAGAAATATTAATATTTGTCTTATTTTCTTTTAAATAAAGTAGTGAATTAATCAACAAATGGATAAGTAAATAAGCGMRAAATCAACCCTCTTGAGGTTTTATTTTGAATCTTGAATCTCTTGAGGTATATTTTCACTTAAAAAAATCCCATGAAACAATATTCGGAATGAGGTAAATATCGTCTTAAGATGAATATAGAGTAAGACAAAATAAATGAATAAATAAAAAAGCGCATGAAATGATCAATTATCGTATATCCATCGATAGTCATCCCACACACGAACCTCTTTACCTCGTGTCCACGTTATTAGGCAGAAGCAGATGGTCAGCGCTTGAAACACACGATGCCAACTCGGCATTATCATCGGGGCTGCTTTATACTGTTAAAACTGAAAAAAATATAACAACATAGGATACTTTTCAAGCGGTTTTGTCAAGTAAACAACAGATGGTTGCTATCAAACAGTTAAACAGTTGACCATTAGTTGTGGTAAAAATACTCTGTTTACATTTTAAATGAGTTTTGATTCGTTTGTATTGTAGCGCTGGCGGAACGTTCGGCGATTTGAACAGTAATCTGCTTTCTCCGACAAACAGACAGCTATAATGATTAAAGTGTCTCCTTTTGTTCCACTTACAAATCTTTTTTGAATGTGACATCGGATGCATGTTTTAACATGTAAAAACTGTAAAAACAGGCTCGTGTTTTACCGCTATTTATGAACGGGGAATTTTCAAAAATATCTGTGTTTTTAACATAAGTATGAAGGAGTATAGTATAGTAAGATTAGAAAATTAGGTTTAAAAAAGCGTTATGCTAATCTAGTGACGTCAAAGTGTCCATTTTATCAAATTTTATTATCATTTTTTATTTGTGTTTTATGATGTGATAACCCGTTCCCAACGGTAGAAGTTCGTTTTATTTTACGTTATAGGTAATATTGCATTTGAAAAATCAGAAATTAAAACTAGGGTAATTTTGTATAATGACCGAGTACACCTTTGATGTCACAAAATTACCATAATGTTTTCTAAAACCTAACTTTAAAAAACATTAAAACATTAAACCTGAAATAAACGTATAAATAAATTTATTACACTCTTCATATTATATATCATTTAAATAACTTTAGCAATACTCTTGTAAATAAGGCAAGTCATGCGAATAAAGTTTGTTGTTGTATCATATTAATATTTCCAAAAGGGAAAAAAATCCATGTAGTTTGGATTAATCTTTTTAAACAAATCAATGTTCATGTTGATATGCTGATGTTTGCAATGATTTTGATATTTTGATAGCCTATCAAGGATTGTATTTTTGACTGGCTCGGTGTTCCCTCGGTCGTATTTTTATCGTTCTTCGATATCGTAGTAACAGTCCTTCGTAGTTCATTTCAGAAATGTGGATATGTTTTGTGATGTTAATGGACTGATTGAGGGGGTCGGTAGGCCGTACATAAAATAATGAGTAAGATTTTTTTGATGACGATGATGATGATGATGATGATTACAGATCCTATTAGCCATTTTTATGTTATGAAATGAATTGTAATTTCTGTCATATTGAGCCAATCGAAAAACTAACCATATCACTAAAAATAATTTATCGACTTTAGTGTAGGTTCCAAGTTACAGATCATTTGGACAAATATTCAATTAATGAGAAGCCGTGCAATTTACAGAGAATATATGGGGATTTTGACCGCGTCCCCCAAAACAATACATTCTCTGTTAATTTGATGAAACTAGGAATAAATACTGTTCAGCTAGTTTTTATCCAAACGTTTTGAAACTTGGTATATTTAATACTTTTTGGGTGTCATTTCATCCGGCTGGTGGGGTTTGCTTCGTGATTAGATCAATATTTTTTTGATTAGTGCCCAGTCCCCTGCGCAACGTCGAAATGTCTAATATTTTCTACGTTATCGAGAGGAACCTAAGGCGTGCACTGAAACCTCAATACCAATCGATCTCGATTTTCCTAGTAATAATAATATAATGATGATGATGATGATGATAATGATGATGACAACGATTGAAAATTCATCTGCTCTTGAATACATTTGTACGTCTATTCGCTCCATGTATGGACATACAGTACGAATACTAACAGCTAGATAATAATAATGATAAATAATTATTTTTTTGTAAACATATAAATCACATGGGCGATGCTGATGATATCAAAATATCCAAAAAAGACGAAACAACCGATCAAAGACCAAACACACAAGTCAACCTTTGATACAAAGTCACTAATAAACAGGGAAAACCCTTTTTAAAGAGGTTGTAAAATGGTTATAAAGTTATACATGGAATACACTTCATTTGCTCGATGTTTTCTGAAAGAATAACTGTATACGAAATATCAAAAAATGTTTATTAACGAAATTCAAATGAACCTACCAATAAGATGAAGTTTCATCTTTGAAATTTTGATCAAACGTCCGCTGTTATCTCTGTAATGGACGTTTTACAACCTTGGCGACGTAAAATATTTGTTCATCAAATACTAAGCAGCCATRAAAACGTCTTGTCACGTTTAATACCTGCTCTGGAAATTAAACACACTTAACAAAGTAAACACTATATTCGTTGCGTAAAACGAACAATCAATCAGGTACGCAAAACAAGAATATGTTGACTTAAGCCAACTCGTCTTAAATTGATCGCGGAAATCAAAGAAGTGCAGAATATTGATGGAACTGAAATAATAAGTACTGTTGGCAACTTAAAATCACGTAATAATGGATTTTTGTTTTGTTTTAAAATTTGATGGATAGGTCCATTTGGAATTAGTCAGTAAATTTGTTTTGATATTTCGTATAAAGATGTTTCAGAAAACATCGATAACCTGTCCAAAAGGGGGGTTTCACTGTTTATTAGTGACTTTGTATGCTCTCTGTCTTCGATTGAAAGCAATTTAGATTACAATTGTCATATTAATGACGCTGTCGTTCAATCCACTACCAACAATGCAATTCGGTCATGCAATGCGCTATGAAGTATCACAATATTCAGTATTCGACGCCATTTTTTTTGAAACAGATGTATTTTCTGATACTTTTTGTATTAGTCTATTGGTTTATCTCTCTTTAGGTTTCTTTTTTACTCGATTTAATGATTATTTCCGTTATTATTTGCAACAAGAGCATGCTTGGGGCTAAATAGAAAAAAAAAAGCCATCAATTTCTTTATCCCTCAGGCTGGAACTTTAATTAAGTACTTCTATCAATCCTTCCTATTGTAACATAATGTACAATTTCGAGATTCAAAAGTTTTGTCGTCTTCTTTTATTGAAAATTTATACATATATGAGAAAGTAAACACAACCCAATTGTCAACTTTAAAGTTATAGCTGAAATTTCAATCAAGCATTTTCGTGAAAATATAATTACTAACACAAGAGCTTCTTAAGATGAGTAAATTTGGCAAGTTTGGGAGCAATCCGTTGAAAAAGCGCTCAAAGCCATCAAATTTTAAAGATTATGTAAAAACGCCCTAATTTAAAAATTATATTTAGTTTGTTATGATAAAACTCACTTGGCAATGGGCCTCGAAGTCTTTAGTCTTCTTTTCTGTAAACCGATAGGAAAAAAGCTCGTTTTTTCAGTGATAAATGCGATAAATGACACGAAGATKAAAAAAAAATTAATGTTTGAGCTGCGATTTGTCTACATCCGATATTCTGGACGTGATAAGGGTGTTTTTTTTTAACTCCACTAAAATCTTTCACAATTAAGTTATCTCTTGAAAATTGTCATATCGTTAAAGTGCAAATTCGATGTCTCTTTTCTTCATAAGTTTTGATATATAATAGATTTGCAGAATCCAGGGCGAATTGCTGAAAAAGTAAGAAAAAAGCCGTCTGAAAAGTATCATGCTGCCGTACGAAGAAGTAAAAATAAACTCATCCTTGTTCAATTATGGTTGGTGCCACCTTAATAATGTGTCCGTCAAAAGTGAGCGAATGTCAAGACGTAAAACTAAATTGAGGAAAAAAATGGCGGTCAATGAGTTAAAATATAATTCAGAGTGAATCAACAATAACAAATTTCCAACATGTTCACAATATTCTTAGTAGATTAATGGATTTGAACATATAGTCGATATTATAGTATTTTCTATATCATTTATGCCAGCTATTATCAWTTCATAACCATTTTATCACTATGTTATCAACAAAATATATCTATTTGAATTTTATTATTTATTCCACCTTGAATAACTAAACTTTTGTGTTATAATCAATGAATTTCCATTTGAGGATGTGTTAAGAACTTGGCAAAAAAGTTCCCAGATACTAGTGATTTCCAGCTTTTTGCTTGATCGGTTCATTGATATTCTCATGAGATAAATATCTCAAAAAATCTCGCTACTTAGAAAGGTCCATTTTCGAAACACAAGTGTCAATAATTGACTCTCAATAGTGGTTTTCAACCATAA